CACACACACACACACACACACACACACACGCGCACACCTCTCTCTCGCTCTCTCTCTCTACACATATTGCAGAGTGACAAGCCTGGGTTTAGAAGCGCTCGCACGTCCGGCTCTGCGCTCAACAGCGAAACCGATAGCATCACCGACAGACGGCGCAGGAGTAGCAGAGGCACTCTAGCAACCATCAGCAACCTCTCAGACGAAGCCACGTTCACACGCAGACACACGGACGAGAGCGGCGACTCTGCGATCAACGGACAGGGACACGTGCATGTGCTCACGCCCACACTCAGTGGGAAGAGTGGGTGCACCCCCACGCGCACGAATAGCAACACCACACTCGCCAGTGCCAAGGATAGCCTGGCGGGTATGAGTGGCACGGGTAGTGGGTTTGGCAGCGGGGCTAGCACACCGGGGAGACGCCGTACGAGCAGTCTGATGAGGCAGTTCAGTGATGTGGGGGATGAGAGGGCCGGAGAATCTAGAGAGAGTATGTGCGTGAACGTGTGCACGTGTGCGTGTGTGTGTGGGGGGTTGTTTGCGTGTGCGGATGTGGCGGAGTGTGTGGGGTGAGTAAGTAGGTGCACCCGTTCGATGAGCTTGTGTATGTGGCTGTGTAGTGTAGTGTAGCGTAGTGCTCTTGTGCGTCTGTGTAGTAGTGACAGTGGCACCCCTGGCAGTACGTGTCAGTGCAGCCTCACGCGGCAGTGGAGTGCTGAGGTTATGAAAGGGCTGCTACAGCTACTAAACTAACAAAGTATGTACAAGGACATAAAATACGCTGTTGTGTGTATGATCCGTACAGATGTACCTTTCGTGTGCGGGATTATATTGGGTAGTGTATAGATTGCGCGGACACGTCCTTAGCTATGTGCGCTTTCGCTCGTCCTTGTTCGGATACAATAGCGTCTTCAAAGCTTGGATGTGGTTGTGGTAGCGTGGTGATCTCAATGTAACGATGTGTGTGAGTGTGTGTGTCTGGCTTTGTTGGTTGGTTCCCTGTCTTGAGGTTCATCCAACGCTCTTCTTACCACGTCCTGTGCTTCCCCCTTGCAAGCAGGTGCACTATGTGCTGTGTCTGTGTACATGTGTCGGTGTACATGTGTCTGTGTACATGTGCGCATGTTTAATCGATCTGTGGGCGTGAGGTTTCTTCTCTCGCGTGCTTGCTGTGTATGATTGTGAAACACTATTGCGACGGGTCTTGTGTATATTGAGTGTTACACTGCAACTAACCGGACTGAAGACAGCTAATATGGTTTGCAAGTTGATATGTATATCAGAACAACAGCTTCGACCGATCCTCAGTATCTGAGGGGTTATTTATGACGTAATATCCGCCCTGAATCTGAAGTGGACACCTATATACTGGTTTTTAAACACACTTTCGTGTACACAAGTACGGACTGTACACTATACTGTACGTTTGTATAAGTACTGGTTTCTATACTATTTCAGACTTGCACACACATGTGTGCCTAGAACGATCGTCACTGATGTGTTGTGGTACTCGTCCATGCATGCTGTATGTCTGACAAGATAGTCATAGATGTGTTGTAGTACACTTCCATGCATGTTGTATGTCTCTCACGATAGTCATAGATGTGTTGTAGTACTCGTCCATGCATGTTGTATGTCTCACACGATAGTCATAGATGTGTTGTAGTACACTTCCATGCATGTTGTATGTCTCACACGATAGTCATAGATGTGTTGTAGTACACTTCCATGTATGTTGTATGTCTGGCACGATAGTCATCGATGTGTTGTAGTACACTTCCATGCATGTTGTATGTCTCACACGATAGTCATAGATGTGTTGTAGTACACTTCCATGCATGCTGTATGTCTCACACGATAGTCATAGATGTGTTGTAGTACACTTCCATGCATGTTGTATGTCTCACACGATAGTCATAGATGTGTTGTAGTACACTTCCATGTATGTTGCATGTCTCACACGATAGTCATAGATGTGTTGTAGTACACTTCCACGCATGCTGTATATCTGTACGTCTGACATATAGCTATTTATATTATCCCACAGATGACTTTGTAGGTGGTAACGGCATAGCCGGGCGTGAAGTCAAGTTGGGCACGATGAACAGTTCGGAACTAGGCAGTCGAAGCCACGATCATTTACGACAAAGCGAGTTCAAAGTCGTGGAAGAGGACAAGGGCACGGTAACCCCTGTAGTTGTACTTGTAAACGATGAGCACGATTAATAAAGTTACATTCAACGCTACAGCTAGTTGTACTTGTAAACGATGAGGACGATTAATAAAGTTACATTCAACATTACAGCTAGTTGAACTTGTAAACGAGGAGCACGATTTATAAATTTACATTCAACACTACAGCAAGTTGAACTTGTAAACGATGAGCACGATTAATAGAGTTACATTCAACACTACAGCTAGTTGTACTTGTAAACGATGAGCACGATTAATAAAGTTACATTCAACATTACAGCTAGTTGAACTTGTAAACGATGAGCACGATAT